GGGGATTGAACTCAGGTCCTTGCGCTTGTGAGGCAGGCAGCGAAACCACTGAGCTAAATCCCCGGCCCTCTCTTCCTCTTCTTATAAAGCCGCTCATGCCACCAGCCCCAAGACTCCAGGCCTCATTGCCTCCCACCTTCAAACACCACTGGCACGGCTCTAGGGAGCACATTCACAACATGTGAATTCTCAGGGCGGAGGACACATTCACACCGGAGCAGTACAGAGTGACAAACTGGAGTTGGTGTTGTAGATAATATAAACCCTTCACTGGAAGTGCGGTCGTGGAGCAGCAGCAGCCAACAGCCCATTAGGGACGCAGAAGCCCAGGCCATCTATGAAGAGTGGATAAGCTGTCGATCTGGTAACAAAGAGTTCAATGCAGCCAGGTGAGGCAGGGGTGGAATGCACCTGCAGCCCAGCCACTCAGCCCTGCTGAGATGGGATACATTTTCATGTATCAGTGTAGCAATGAAATACATAAAAGTACAACTACAACTACCCAGAGAATTTGACTAGAATACTTCTAAGTTTTAACAGACCAAGTACACAAAATTAAGCCATAAGAGGATTTTAATAATGCAATTAATAATCTCTGTTTAATAGATGGACATTAACTAGACAGTATATACTTTTTAATGTCCTGAAACTGTTATAAAATCAATCTTGTATGAACTTAGAAGGAAAGCTTTATTAATAAAAAATTTAAATGTAAAGACCATAATATCTGATCATAAAGACTCTGAAAGTTAACCATGAAAAGCTAACAATAATAAAAACCCTAGCTGGGGATTTAGCTCAGTGATGCCACCGCCTGCCTCGAAAGCACAAGGTCCCAAGTTCAATCCCCAGTACCAAAAAAACCCCCCAAAACAAAACAAAAAACCCCTTATTCATGGATACTAAGAAACACTCTCCTAGCTTTTAGATCAAAGAGGAAATAAAATTGAAATTGGGAATTGCCTACAATGTAATAAAAGGAGAACACCTTATTCCAAGTCCTCTGGACACAGCTAAACCTGTTCTTGCAGCAAAATGTATAGAAATACTAAGAATACTTCAACTGAGAATTCAGCTTAGAAAATAAGAGAAATAAAATGAAAAAAGTAAATTAGGAGAGCAGTAAGATAAAATCAGTACAAGATAAGGAAAAAGATGAATGAAAAGAATCCACCAGCAAGAAAATATGCCTTTGAGTATAAATGAAACAAATTAACATATATCTTAAAATATTTGAAGCAATGGAATAGATAATTCAGGAAATTGTTTGAACTTCTTCCTACTTCCTACTTATCTATCTTCTATTTTGCACCCTCTTTGTCTCTCTGTCTCTCTCTTTCCCTTCCCCTTTCTCATAAGAGAACCTATATTTAAGCTTGTGTGTCTGACTTATTTCACTGAACATTACGTTCTCAAAGTACATCCTTTTGCCTATGAATGCCTCAAGTTTGTCCTTCTTTATGGAAGGTACACCATTGTATATAATTACTACATTTTCCTTATCCATTCATTTGTTGATGGACAGATATGATATTTTCAAGATCTAGCTATTGTAAATTATGCTGCTGTTAAATGGTTATACATGTACCCCTGTTTCATTTATAGTACTAGTTTTTCTTTGTTCATTAAAAAGAAAGTTTTATACTTTCATTTGTTTGTTCTTTCTTTGTGTCTTTTTCGTCTATGCCCTGTACTCTTTTTTTGGGGGGGGGGTTACCGGGGATTGAACTCCGGTCCTTGCGCTTGGGAGGCAAGTGGCAGAAGCACTAAGCTAAATCTCCGGCCCATATGCCCTGTACTCTTGAGTAACATTTTGGCCATTATTTTAAGATCATGATACATATTGTATTAACTATTCTTATTCTCTAATTATTTTGTTATGAAATTTTGTTTTATTTTTTCATAAAAGTAAGACAGTGCTTTTTATATTTTCTCTATCAATCTCTACTCATATTACATTAAAATTTTTTTTTTTTTTTTTGGTTCTGGGGATCAAACTCGGGTCCTTGCTCTTGTGAGGCAGGGAGCAGAACCAATGAGCTAAAGCCCTGGCCCCTACGTTAAAATTTTTAAAAATTGAAAAAAAAAGAAAAAGAAAACATGTTTTTGAAAGGAGTTAAAGGAAAACAAGTTTTTCCCAGCCTTGGGCAGCCTCCCATCATCCCCTCTTCCCTTGTAGCTATAACTTTTTGTTCTGGTCCAGATAATATTGGCAACAAAGTTTATATCATCTTCTCAGAAGATTCACAAGGCTCTGTCTTCTTTCAAGGCTAAATTACAAAACCGTCTGCCCTCATCCTGTTTCTATAAACTCGCTTGCCACGTCACTAAAAAGACCAACCCCTTTGACCAAATGTATAAAAACTAAAACTTTTCTTTGTTGAAAGCTCTTCGTTTGGACATTAGTCCATTGAGCTGGTGTTCACCTAAACCTAGAATAAAATCCTCCTGTTTCCCAGTGGCCTCTCCTGTCTCTTAAATCCCGCAACACTATGACACGACTAAGAGCCAGAGAGGTCTGCAAAGTGATTTACTGGGGCCATTCGTGGGGCAGAGGAGGGGACCCAGATCACGCAGACCGGTGGAGGGTGCTCGTGAGATGCAGGGATGTGGTCATCCTGGAGCATGTGGCAGACAGAAGGCGCGGACCTGGCTGGTGCCTGGAGGTCAGAGGCATCTCGGAGTGGGCACACAGCCATCAGGCCTAGGTGCTCCAGAGGACAATGACGGAGACGAGGGAGGAGGCCAGGAAGAGCAGGTAGAGGCGGAAAAGCAGGGTGTCCATCAGATGGCCGAACCGCACCCACAGCTCCACCACCTCCTGCTCCCTCCGGGCGCCCCCCGATTCGGGGCACCCACTGGGCTCTGGCTCTCCCGGCTCTTTCAGGCCTGCGGAGAGGACAGAGACTCAGCGCTGGGCTGCAGAAGGCACGGGGAGGGAGGGAGGGAGACAGAAGGAGGGCCCGGGAGGAGGCGCCCTCACCTGGTAGGCAGGCGCGGGACTGACCCGGGCCCTGATTCCCGTGCGCTGGGTGCAGCAGGGCGGCCTCTCCCGGGCCCGGGACGGCGCAGCAGCAGGGAGTGGAGGCGGTGGGGCACGGGTGGGGGCGGGGTGGGGCTCAGGTGCAGCAGGTGGGTGATGCAGATGGTCTCCAGCAGGCCAGTCACCATCAGGGACAGACACAGGGCGAAGTAGACGCCTGCGGGAAAGGCAGCCTGGAGTCTGAACTTTCTGCAAAGTTCTTGCCCAGGTGCAGTCTTTCCCTCAGAAGCCCTTCCCTCCTGAGGGGGAGCAGGGCCTGGTCCCCCCTCCCAGCCGCCTTTGCTTCTCTGGAGAGTGGGAGGGGCCGTACTGATGAGAGGGCCGCCACCGAAAGGGAGTAAGGAGTAAGTCGTTCATCAGGAGCAGGAAGACAATGTAGGCCAGCAGCAGGGCCGTCTTGAAGGGGGTGAGATTCACGTTTTCTGTCGGCAAGAAGAAGCTGAGGGCGTCGATGGCTACCAGGAGGCCACTGGGCACGAGGAGGTGTAGGACATAAAACCGGAGCCTGCGTTTGATGGCCACCTGGTGGGGAGGACAGGGAGGGGAATAAATGTGGGGTGTGGAGAAAACCCCAAATTCAGGAATAAGTTTGCTGCCAGGACTGACAGTGACTGTTTCTTTTTCCAGGGTCAGCTGTCACCCTGGGTTCTGGAGTGGTGGGGAGTACAGCACCTTAACCTGGTATTGAACCCAGAGAGAGAGAGAGAGAGAGAGAGAGAGAGAGAGAGAGAGAGAGAGAGTTAGCTGGCCCCATGAGCATTATGGAGGAGAGGGAGGCTGGGCAGCCAGCAGGAGAGTTTTGAGACACCCTGAAAGCTGGGCACTACCTGCTTGGTGGAGATTCTAGGCAAGGGTAGAAGCAAGGAAGGAAGCAAAAAGCAAGGACCTCCGAGCTCACATAGAACACGATCTGATCATGCAGATGGGTGTCTGTGGAGAGGGTGTTAGCCAGAGAGGCTCCATTTTGAATCTTACCCTCCATTGTATAAAGCAAGTAGGCTATGTTATGAGGAACCGCATCCTTGCCGAATTAGATTGCCCTGGAACGTGATGAACGTTCTGTAACCCCGAGAAACAAGCCCATGAGGGTGGGGAATTCCCAAAGAACTAGAAAACAAGGAAGCAGGTGTCTCTGGATAAGGATCATGATTAACAACCAAACTCACCTGTTGTATAAAAGAGAGGAGAAAAATAAACTTGGGCGCTCGGTCTCTGGGAGCCCTCCCGACTCTATCTCTTTGTCTTTATTTTTCTTCATCCTCACTCCCCCATTCAGGTACTGTTCGACAAGTGACGGCGGGCTCTGTCAGGGGTCCATGGCCGTCTTTGGCGTGGCCTTGGTGATGCTCAAGAGCTTCCATTCCCCGTGGACAGGAACAATGTTCTGGGACGCTGCTGCCATTTCCCACACTTCTTTCTCCATGCCCAGTATCAAGTTATCTGCTGAAAGGGAGAACTACTCAGGTCATTTTCCAAGGACATAACTTGGAAGACTGGGGGCTCAGCTGCACTCTGTTTCCACTCTTTCATTCAACAGATATGTTGGGGGTATCTACAGTATGCCAGGAACTTTCTAGGAGTTGGGGATGGCGATTAACAAGACAGATTTGGATCCTTTGTGGAACATATTTAAGCATCCATAGAGCCTGACTCTGCTCCACTGCACTTCTCAGCCACTCTTTACTCAAGGTTTCTTTATATTTTGTTTTCTATTGCTTTGTTAGTTGCTCTCATTTGTGGTCTTCCTCCCCTTGGTGGGGGCCAGGCACCCCATGTCTGCGACTTACCTGTGTAGAGCCGCGAGCAGAAGGTAAGAGTACAGTTTTGCTGGTCAAAGGGGAAGTAGAAGATGTCCAGGTTGCAGAGACTGGGCACCTTCATGGGTTTCTTAAACTGGATGTGACCTTCATTACTTACAAATGCTGTGAGCCCTCTGGGGGTTTTCTCCTTCTCTGTGCTACAGGAAAAATGAAGTGGGAGGCACGTGCTGTGATTTTTCTTATTGTTTGGGTTGTTTCTCTGTCATCTAAGACCACTTCTACTCTACTGGTGAGCTCTACTGGTACTAGGAGATGGGGTTTCCTCCTGGCTTTCCACAGCCCTTAACACGCACAACTCAACGATGAAAATATCCAGGAGCCACAGGTTCCTGGCCAACACACTCATCTTCCTGATGCCCTCACACTCCTCCGGGCTCCAGCGGATCAGGGGGTTGTCCCAGACCTAGGGCCCAGGTGGGAGATGGGCGAGAGCTTGAGACACATCAGGGTTATTTTCTCCTGCCCTTTGCTTTTTTTCTTTAAAAGTCACCAATATTTCAAGAAAATAGAAAAGTCCATAAAATAACGTAATAAACATCTGTGAATCTACCACCTGAACTTTGTGGAGTCTCAATATTTTGATATATTTACTTTTTCTTCTAAGAAATAAGAATGATAGGGCAGGGGATTTAGCTCAGTGGTTCCAGCGCCTGCCTCGAAAGTGCAAGGTCCCGAGTTCAATCCCCGGTACCAAAACAAAAGAAAAGAAAAGAAATCAGAATAACTAAAATTCAACCTCTCTGTATGTATTTCTCTATAAAATGTGGTGCCTCTGCTAGGGCTGGGGGTGCAGCTCAGTGGAAGGGCACCTGCATAGCACACACAAGGCCATGGATCCAGTGCTCAGCACCACAAAACAAAACAAACCCACAAATCTGGTCCCCTTGCTTTAGCACTGCAGTGGGAAATCACTGACAATGAAGGACGACCTCTCCTTTTTGCAGTATGAATGAGAATCAGTGTCAAACAATCTGTAACTCAGCCTCTCTGAGCTAGAAATTCCTTAGTGTGAAATAAGACTGTCGGATGGAATAGGGCACATGAAAGGATTTTATAAACTGTAATGTTGCTGGGGGTCTAGCAAGGTCTTAAGTGTCTTCTAAGGACCTTTCACCAGCCTTTATAGCAAGGAGACCTTGAACAAGCCTTTGGTTCTTGGAAAAAAGAGTCCTTGGGCTCTCCTTTCCATGGCTGGTAACCCTCTCTGAAGAGTGTTACCAAGGATTGTCTAACAGGGTGGGATTATCTGGTCTCAGGATGCTTTCAGTGTTAGCAGCAGCAGTTTGTGGAGCCACAGACAGAACAGGGCTCTGTGTGTGTTAAATAAAAGTTTGTATGAGATCCAGCTTCACTGTGTATATAAAACATCTGGCGATCATGATGAAATGCAATTCCAATTCAACAGGTAGGATGGCTAACTCATCCTGGTTTGTCAGGAACTTGCTTGGTTTAACATTGTCCATGTCCCATGAACTCTACACTTTGGGGCAGGCTGGGACAGCTGGTCACCCTAGGCAGAGTGTGAAATCCAGTACATTTCTTGGGACTCAAACCCAGAGTTTATTTTTTTGTTTTTTTGTTTTTTGAGATAGGGTCTCATTCTGTAGTTCAGGCTGGCCTTGAACTTACTATGTGGCCCAGGTTGACCTCAAACTTGTAATCCTCCTGCCTCAGCCTTCTTAGTGCTGGGATTATAGGGGTGTGCCATCATGCGTAGCTCTCCAGTGCATTTCTTTTTTTGGTATCAGGGATCGAACTCGGGTCCTTGCGCTTGCACAGCAGGGGACAAAACCACTGAGCTAAATCTCCGGCCCTACAGTGCATTTATTTTTTTGGTACCAGGGATTGAACTCCAGTCCTTGTGCTTGCGAGGCAGGCAGTGGAACCACTGAGCTAAATCACCGGCCCCTCCAGTGCATTTCTAATAAGCTTCCAGATGGCACAATGGCCCAGCACTGTCTGTCTGTCGAATTTGGAAGGCAAGGTTCAGGATTGTTACCATCTTTCCCCAGCTTCTTCTTTCCCTCCAATCAGGCTTTTCAAGTTGGAAATTTAATTAAGTTAGCTTCATTTCCTACCCTCCCACTTTTTTTTGGTACCAGGGATCCAACTTGGGACCTTGCACTTGCAAGGCAGGTGCCGGAACCAGTGAGCTAAATCCCTGGCCTTCCTCCTACTTTGTTTTTTAATCCATTCCTTTAAGATGTAAAATTTCCAATGAGTTATGCATTGGCTACATTCCATAAATTTTCATATGTAGTGCTCTTCATTTCTAAATAGTCCATAACTTCTTCTTCTTTTTTTTTTTTGGTACTGGGGATTGAACTCGGGTCCTTGTACTTGGCACAGCAGGCAGTGAAACCACTGAGCTAAATCCCCGGCCCTTCATAACTTCTATTGGTTGTTTTATTTTCTCCTTAGTGCAAAATATTTGGAAGTTTAATTTTAAATTCTCAAGACACAAGGTTTTCTTGGTGAGGCAGCTACCCTTTTGTAGTTAGTTTATATTGTTTTATAGTCAGAGAATGTGATCTAGATAATTTCTTTTTCAATTTTTTTCTTGAGGCTTTCTTTTTTTGGTATCAGGGATTGAACTCAGGACCTTGTGCTTGCAAGGCAGGCAACAGAACCACTGAGCTAAATCCCCGGCCTACTTGTTTGTTTTGTTTTGTTTTGCTTTGTGAGACAGGGTCTCAGTATGTAGCTCAAGGAGGCCTCGAACTCATGACCCTCCTGCCTCAGACTCCCAAGTAGCTGGGTTTACAGGTTTGTACCACTGTGCCCAGCCCTATTTGATTTTTTTTTTTTTGGTACCAGGGATCAAACTCAGGTCCTTGTGCTTGCAGGGCAGGCAGTGGAACCACTGAGCTAAATCCCCAGCCCTATTTGATTTTTTTTTTTTTGGTACCAGGGATCAAACTCAGGTCCTTGTGCTTGCAGGGCAGGCAGTGGAACCACTGAGCTAAATCCCCAGCCCTATTTGATTTTTAAAAGCAACATAACAAAGCCTCTCACCATTATTACAGATTTTTCAGTTTCCCCTTCCAGTGTTCCAAAACTATATTGTTGGGTACATAAAAGGTCACAGTTACTGCATCCTTGTTTACAATCTTTTCTAAGTCCGCTGAAAGGAGAGAATAAAGTGTTGACTGTACCATTTCTAGCCACAAGAATGAGGTCATGAGCTGCAGCTGTTCATCCTGCCAAAAAAATTTCCTGCTTTCAGCAAGCTGCCTGTAAGATATGTGCCTGGCCCCCACCCTACATTACTCCCTATTTTTGTTTATTAATCCCCCAGGAATATAAAGGCAATGTTATGATCAAGGCCAATATATGTATGTGAGTGTGTATAGATATATATATACACATATATATGTATATATATGTGTATATATTTATATATGTATATATATTTATATATATGTGTATATATATTTATATATGTATATATTTATATATATATGTATATATGTTTTGTTGTTTTTGTATTTTGTCTTTTTGAAAAAGGGTCTCGCTGTATAGTTTAGCCTGGCCTTGAGTTCACTATGTAGCCCAGGCTGGCCTTCAACTTGCAGCGATTCTCCTGCCTCAGCTTCCTGAGTGCTAGGATTACAGACATGTGCCACCATGCCTGGCAAGGCCAATATTACAGCTCAAGGACAAAAGCTTGATCAAAATAAATCTATTAGGCTGTGGGCAGGAAAGTCCCTGGCAGACTAGCGTAAGCTAGTGCTTCTTAAGCCTTGGTCCATCTTGGAATAACCCGAGGAGCCAAAAAATATGAAGATCTGGACTTGAGCCAATCAGAACCTGGGGGAGAGGGTGGTGGACCCCAGACATTGGGCGAGAAAACATTCTCTTCCGTGTGCTACTGTGTCTCACCCCGATGAGGGGCAAAGAGTTTTTGTTGTTGTGTTTTGTTTTGTTTTGTTTCGAGATTCTCTCTGTTGGGGAAAAGCCACATAACAGTGTGGTGAAGGGCTTTCCGTTTGGTTTGCCAGGGGCTGAGAAAACACTAAAGACACCAGAGGGGACAGAAGGATCACCACTCACTACATCTAGGATGGCAGTCGTGAAGGAGATGTTGACTTGGACGCGGACTTCGAGGCTGATGACTGGGTGGAAGGCCTTTCTGCTCAACATTGAATCCAGAACAGCCGGCTCCACCCTGGGCTGGCCAAACCCAGAGCAGTTGATGGTGAAAGAACGGCCTTGTCCTGTAGTAGACCCAGTGTGTGAGGTTATACACAGCTAAGCTAGTTAACAGTATCAAGTCAGAGGGGGACTGGGCCTTCAAAGAAATCAACACAAAAAAGAAAGACATCAGAATTGTGACTGAGGCGCATCTGAAGAAGGCCAGGCCTCAAGATGGAGAAGAAGTGGCCAGGCCCTAAGGGATAAAGAGTAACTTGAGATTATCCTGTAGTTAGCACCACCTGGTCCAGGACATCCGGATAGGCTTCTGTCGCCCACCTAGGTGACCAGAGCATCTGGACCCATCGCCCCCAAATGCCTTTGTTTTTCCATGCACCCTTGCTATGTGATTCATTTCCCTGTTGGATCAATGATAACTAAGTGGCTACACTTGTGATCCTATAGGCTGATGCTAGTTTGACCCACACTTTGCGCACAGTGTGACTTTGCTGTATAAATTACCCCTCACAAATGGCCTCTCTTGGTGGCCACACCCCTAGGGACCCTTCCTAGAAACCCAGGAGCTCTTCTTCTTATTTCCAATAAAACTCTCCTAACTTGTTCCTTTGGCTTGCACCTTCATTCCTTGATGCTGTGGGACCGAAAACTCGGCACCTTTGTCATTGAGTGGGTTGGAGTGACATTTCTCCTCTCTGCATGGCAAGGCCGTGATGAGCACTGATAGGCACTGCTCTGGTCAGGCGTGTTCTGAGTGCTTTAAACAGATTACTTCCTTCAATCCTCCCAACCCCCTGTTAGATTTTGTTTAAAAAAATCACTTCATAACATATTTTATATCCAATTATTTTTCTTTGGTACTGGGGATCAAACTCAGGACCTTGAGCTTGCAAGGCAGGCACGGTACTACTGAGCTAAATCCCAGGCCCTCTAATTTTTATACTTCAGTGCTACACTTACTAGCAATTGCTTTTTAAAAAATATTTAGCTAATTCTTATGGAATCTAGAGTGACATTTCAATACATGTATACAATGTGTAATGATCAGATGGAGGTAATAGCATCTCTGTCGCTTCAGACACTTATTATTATTTCTTTGTGTTGGTAACATTCAAAATCCCCTTTCCTGGCTATTATGAAGTATACAATTAATTATTATCTTACTGTGCTATAGAACCTTAGAAGTCATGCCTCCGATACAGTTGCACCCCACCCCCAGTAACCATCCTCTGTGTCCCTCCCCCACCTCCTCTCAGCTCTGGTAACCGATATTCTATTCCCCACTTCATGGGAGGGTAAACACTATTTTTATTCTCATGTAATAAATGAGTTCCCACTAAGGTGCCAGAGGAAGTAACTTCCCAAGGCCAGAGAGATAATAAGAGGCGGAAGCTGGGCCTGATGTGAGTCGGGTTTGTCTGCAGCTGGGCTGTTTGGCCCGTGAGGAGACCAGTGGGGGATGGGTTCGCTGAGAGAGGTCCAGGAGCTGGACACTTCCTGCCAGGGCCAAGGAGGATGGGCTAGGCTGGAAGGCAAATAACGGAAGCTACTGTGGTGAGCTGAGTCAGGCCATCGGCCTACTTTCTAATACTTTGTCTCTGTGCTTTGCATGCCCAAATTTGCATGCAAACTGAGCCCTGAGACTGATGGGTGTCAGATGGGGGTCACAGTCCCTGGACCCCAAATCATCTGTTTTCACCTGGACTGACCCTACCTTCCAGATTCCCTACTTTGCTGCTCAACCCTCCTATCAGCTTTCTCAAGGCTTTTGAGGTACTGCCTGCCCCCCTGTTCTGATGAATAAAGGCTCCAATATTTCTGCCATTGGGAATGTGTTGAAGGAGTAACAACCTGGAATGAGAGAGATGGTTGGTGACCTCCCTACCAAGGACACCGGGCCTTATCCACTCCCAGAGTCACTGGGCTCTCCAGATTAATCCATGTGTCTTCTATCAGAAGCAAATATTTGTCAGTCAGTATTTCCAAGCACCCAGAGAAGCTTTTATGTCCCTAGTTTCTAGGCCAGGTGTCCCTGTACTGACCTTCAAGGCTACCTCTGGTTCAGTCCTCCTCTGTGGTCCCTTATCAAGAAGTCATGTAGGGCTGGGGATTTAGCTCAGTGGTTCCGCCGCCTGCCTCGAAAGCACAAGGACCCAACTTTGATCCCCGATACCAAAAGAAAGAAAAAAAGAAGTCATTTGATCACCAAAGGGGCAGGGACGCGTATCAGAAGCAGGCACTGTGCAACACCCTTTTTCTCACTGGATCTCCATAACCTTCCAGGGTGAGTCCTATTTTACAGAGGAGAAACTGAAGCTCAGTTTAAGCCACTCACTAAGGTCCCACAGCTAGCAAAGTGAAGGACCAAGATTCCAACCCAGCTCCATCTGTCTCCAAATCCTGAGTTCTTTCCACTGTACCTCGTTACCTCACTGGAAGAGAAGCACACTGCCTTCACCCTCGGTGTGCTGGCCCCTGGCATCTTACCCCAGAACATCTGGATCTAGCAGGTCACAGGACAGTTATGGCTAAAGTAGGTGGGCACGTTGTGACAGTGGGGTGGCTCTCATAGTGCAGTAAGAATTACACTGCTGGGTAGAAAGGTAGACGGGGTGAGGGGCTAAGTGGAAGAGAAGACGACTGTGGAGGACACACGGGAAGAAGAGAGCAGTGCTCTCGTGCATGGATTTCCTGCTTTTCAGAAAAGGAAAGTCTTGGGCATCATGATAATACAGTATCATTATGAGAAAACTGTCCACCTCAGACCTCTAGGAGCTGGAAATTTGGAAGAAGTTACTCGATGACCTATTGGAGGGAATCCGGCCCCTGTCATTGTCCCCTTCTTACCTTGAAGCAGAAGATGGAGAACAAGGCAGAAGGGAAGTCTCTCCCTGGGGAACCAGCTTCCTCCCATCTTCCTGGTCCAAATTCTCCCCCGAGCCTGTACCAGGACCCGCATCAAAGGTGCACGGGCCACACCGGAGGCCAACTTTGAATGCTGACAGTCTGGCTGACCGCTGACAGTTGTGGCCTCTCAGAAAGGAGTGTTCTTGGTGTCTGGTTCTTGCCACTGCTTGTGGGTCAATTTGCTTTTCAGACTTTCTCTGAGTCTTAGCTACTTCACCATGGCGTGTTTGGTTACAGATGATGTGCAGTGATCATTTTTAAACTGTGGTCTGATCCCTGCTGAATATTCATCTCTGCAGTTATGGAAAATTTCCAGCCATTAAAAAATATTGTATTTCTTCTCTTCTTTCTCTTACTAGACACACATGGGGGTAGTTTCCTTCTGTTTCACCTACCTTTTAGTCTCTTTTTATGAGTTACTGACTACAGTTGTCACAAGTCACAAACTTGGTGGCTTAAAGAAATACAAGTTACTTTGCAGTTCTAGAGGGTAGAAGTCTGAAACGGCTGCAGGGTTAAAATCAGTGCTGTCAGGGCTGCATTTCTTCTAGCAGCTCTGGAGAGAATCCCTTTCCTATTCTTTCCTTTTCAAGCTCTTGAAGGCTGTATGCACTTCTTAGTTCATTGTCCCATTCTTCCATCTTCAAAAAAGTTACTTGAAAGTTTTAGTTTTTAAATCCAAATTCACACGAGTGTAAATTACAAGACTAGTCTACCAGTAGAGAACAAAGAATAAGTTAATTCTACCTTTTGCACTGTGCTTTTCCAGTATTTCAGGACAGGGCTGGGGATTTAGCTCAGTGGTTCTGGCACCTGCCTCGCAAACACAAGGTCCCAAGTTCGATCCCCAGTACCAAAAAAAAAAAACCCCAAAGATGAAGTATTTCAGGACAAATATGTATAATGGAATAATATTTAAAAATATGAAACCTATGGAGCTTTAGCCCTCCCGTGAATACTCTATCTTTGTATAAATCAGTTTCCTCTGTAACTCTTCTGCTACAGCCCAGGGGGAAGGAAAATGCTACCCCCAGAAGGACATGACTTATGGAAAATTTCTGATGTAGTACAGGAGAACTAAATCCTGCTCTTTCTGGCTCAACAGAATTCGGGACAAAGGAGGGAAGAGAAAGAGAAAGGGAAGGAAGTAGGTGATTATACTAGTGTATAACACAGCACACACTTTTTTTGTTTGTTTGATTTTGGGGGGTTTTTTTGGTACCAGGGATCAAACTCAGAACCTTTCTCTTGCAAGGCAGGCGGTGGCACCACTGAGCTAAATTCCTGGCCCTCTGCACACACATTTTTTTTTTCTTTTCTTTTTTTTTGGTACCGGGGATCAAACTTGGGTCCTTGTGCTTTCGAGGCAGGCAGCAGAACCACTGAGCTAAATCCCCGGCCCCTAATTTTTTTTTTTTTTTTGGTACCAGAGATCGAACTTGGGTCCTTGCACTTGCGCAGCAGGCAGCAGAAGCACAGAGCTAAATCCCCGGCCCAAAGGAATGGTTTGTTTGTTTGTTTGTTTGTTTGTTTTTGGTACCAGGGATCGAACTCAGGTCCTTGTGCTTTCGGAGCAGGCGGCGAAACCACTGAGCTAAATCCCCAGCCCCCCTCAGCACACAGTTTTGACTCTGTGCTTAAATCTGAGCACCTGTGTGTGTGTGTGTGTGTGTGTGTGTGTGTAGGGATTACATATGTCAGGAGAAAAAGCCAAGTGAGGTGGTGCACACCTGTAATCCCAGGAATTGGGAGGCTGAGACAGAAAGATCAAGTTTGAGACTAGATTGGACAATATAGTGAGTTCGAGGCCAGCCTGAACTACATAGCGAGACTTTGTCTCAAAAAAAAAAAAAAGAGGAGGAGGGGGAGGAGGAAAGCTAATGCAGGTCGGGTTGTGCTTCACTACTCATTTGGCACCCTGGGAAAGGGATGCCGAGTGCTTAGGCAGAGAGAGGACCGGGCTTGCATCCTGCACCTCCCTTAGTCCCTTGAGATGTGGAAAGGCACCCGCAGTTCTGCATGTCCTGCCTGGAAGGGGGATGAAGGCTGCACTTAGGGTCTACAGACCTGAAGCCGCCCTGGAGGGAGGCTGTGGAGGGAAAGTCGAGGCCAGCGGGAGGCCCTGCAGGAGGCAGCAGCTGTGGTTGCTAAGTGGAACCCATGGGGTGGGGATCAGAGCCGGAATGAGACTTCATCAGTGGCTCAGGTTAAGCCCCAGTGATAAGGGCCATCACCATGGGACAAGAGAACTGGGAGGGCTCACAAGGACCTGCACCCCTCCACTCCACCGCCATGAGACTCCAAACACACCCTCCCCTTGAGAATCTAACAAAAGCTAAAGGACGAATGACAATTTCAACAGTTTTTGTGCCTAACCTCGGCCCCAACACACCCATTACTACTTTGAGAATCCAGGGCAGGCAAAGAGGTGGTTCATCCAGCTGCTGAAAACAACGTCCATAAGGACTAAAGTTTGCATATAACTTCAACGCTTTCACGGGCCGTGGACTCCGGGTTAAGAACCTCTTCTCAGCCCGGCGTGGTGGTGCATGCCTGTCATCCCAGCACTCGGGAGGGTGAGGCAGGAGGATCACTGAGTTCGAAGCCAGCCTGGGCTACATAGTGAGTTCAAAGCCAGCCCGAACTGCATAGTGAGATCCTGTCTCAAAAAACAAACTCAGACAAAAAATATATGTAAAAAGCAAATGGGGTCAGGTGCATTTATTGGGCTCAATGAACCAGCAACCACTGTGCTGTGCTGTTTGTAAGTCATCTGTTTAGGATTCTATTTAAGAGGTCTGATCAAGATTGAAGTCAAACTTTATCAGTCTAATGTTTTCAAAATCAATCTTTTTCTCCAATTTTAGGAATCAAGAAAATGTTAAATATGTTCATCAAATACCTTTTCTTTCCTCTGTGATTTTGGGAACATTACTAACTGTGGTTCTGAGATTACATCTGCAAGGTCTTAACCTTTGAGGGAACTCATTTAGACTTGGAGATATAGAATCTTAAATTAGCTACACATCCTCTTCCTTTCTCCTTTTTTTGGTTGGCATTAAATTCTCTTGGTCATATCTCTTTTTGCATATTCCTCTCTAAATCACTGAATTATTCTACTTAGTCGAAAAGGCAAGTATCTTTTCCCCAAGGATGAATCTTTCTTTGAACGTATTCTGTCCTGAACAACACAGAGGGGAAAAGATTGAACTTAGAATTGAAAGACATGGATTCAAATCCTTGTTTCCATCATATGCTATGTAATTTTTGGGCAGTTTCTTAAATCTGAGCATTTTACCTCATTCACAATATGGGAAACACTATGTCTACACAGATTTTTGATGGTGATTAAAAGAGAGAACATTTGAAAACCAAGTTAGCACAGTGCAGGGCATTTCCTAGGTACCAGGTGTTTCCTTCTTCTCTTCAGTGTTGCTCTTGGGCATCAGCTTATCCCGGCCCTTGGTCCTCCCACCCACATGTTCTTACAAGTTCATATTTCTGTGCCTGTTTGTCTCTGCTTCTCTCTTTTGCATAAAGCCACAGCGCTTTTTTGCTTGTAAAGCATAAGAGGTCCAGTGTACAGAGCCTAAGAGAGTTCTCCTGGCCTATTAATGTTTGAGATTTGGGGGGAAATGTTTTGTTTCAAAATATGAAAAGAAAAATTAATAAACATTTGTTTAAATGTCAAAACATTTAAACAGTGTTAGCCAGTTCAACTCTCACATAGTTAGAAATGGGCCCCCAAGTCTTTATCCATAATTCTGCAATTCAAAGAGTTCTGAAAATAAAATTATTTCCTCCTCCTCCTTTTCTTCTTTTTCTTCCTCTTCTTTTCCTTTTTGCTGTGTGAATTTATTTGGAATCACAATGAAACCTGAACTAACACGAAGCTATTTATGATCTGTATTTATTTGCCTTAGTATGAATATTCATATTTTTCATGGAAATAAAAGTGTTTTCTTTTGGTTGAGGATACAGTCCCACACCCCATGGAAGCATTGTATTATTTAATATATGGTAATGCAGCCCATTATGGTTCTCAAATCTGAAAAGTTCTGAATTCCAGCAGCATATCTGCCCAAGGGGATCAGACAAAGGATCGTATCCTTGGGTAAATAATATGTGGGATGGGAGTATCTTTTCATATTTTTGCAATAATGTGTGTAGGGTGAGATTCTACACATGTCCCTGTGGCCTACATAAGGCCATAAAAGGAGGGTAAGCCAAGCGGTGCTACATTCCCATAATTCAGCTCTCTGGGAGGCCGAGGCAGGAGGATTGCAAGTTTGAGCCTATGCTGGGCAACTTAGTAAGACCTTATCTCAAAATAAAAAATGAAAAGGGCCTAGGATGTAGCTCAGGGTGAAGGCCCTCAGTTCAATTCCCAGTAACTAACACACACACACACACACACACAGACACACACACGTGCATCCACGTGACACACACACACGTGCATGCACGTGACCCACACACGCAAGACATTAAAATTCCCTCAAGTGCCCAGAGCATGGAAAGTGATTTTAAGAGACTCACATCCTCTTGATAGAACCTCTGATTAATACATGCATG